ATAAGAAAGTTATATCAGAAAGTTTCAAATACTTTCACCAGATAAAAAGTTATATTAAAAGTTTCAAATACTTTCACTCAGATAAAAGAAAGTAATACCTGACCACTTTAAACTCAGTGCCCCAGGATAGAATCTGAGAGACTTAACAGATTATTTAAACATTAAAATACCTCTATCAATAATATATATTTAATTAAGACTTAACTACTAATTATATACATTAGTTAATTCTTACCTATAGTAATATTATATATATGTAATTACTTAACATTTACGTACACTAATTATATATAACCTGACATAGAGACATTAATTATATATATTTAATTACTTAACATTTACGTACACTAATTATATATAACCTGACATAGAGACATTAATTATATATATTTAATTACTTAACATTTACGTACACTAATTATATATAACCTGACATAGAGACATTAATTATATATATTTAATTACTTAACATTTACGTACACTAATTATATATAACCTGACATAGAGACATTAATTATATATATTTAATTACTTAAGACGTACCATTGTTTAATCTCCTTGTCAGTGACTGGAAAGAGAAGAAAGTTAATTAGTATAGATTAATTGCTGGATTATATATATTTAATCTCTACATTAAATTGAAGCCAAACTGAAGCTTTAGACGTTAATGTGAAGCCAAATTGAAGCACTAGGCATTAAATTGAAGCTCTATTGAAGCCTTAGACGTTAATCTCAAGCCTCACTGAAGCTCTCCACACCTGAAACTGAAGCTCAACTGAAGCTTTATACATTAAATTGAAGCCCAACTGAAGCACTCTACAATAAACTGAAGTCTAACTGAAACACTAGGCATTAAATTGAAGCTCAACTGAAGCTTTATACATTAAATTGAAGGCCAACTGAAGCACTCTGGAACCCGGGAAGGTAAAGTTAAGAAATGAAGCCTCTAGGTCTGAACAACAAAGGCTTCAAATATTCATGATTGAAACACGATATTGGCAACTCATGATCAGCCTGTGTTCGATTCCCTGTCCTGACTAGACTGGCTGCGACTTAGGGTTGATGTTTGACCTCTCTCTCTCTCTCTCTCTCACACACACACACACACACACTCAATAATAGTACTAACACCAGCCACCAGATGGGATCGAACCAGGGTACTCTTAGGATGGGGTCTGGCGCCATTTACCACCCCGCCACGGCAACATATACACACTAATATACATATATACACCAATATATACATATATATATATACATAAAACACAATAATATTCGGTAAAATTATGGCCTCAAGGGTGGGATCGATCCAGGGTACTCTTAGGATGGGGTCTGGCGCCATTTACCACTCCGCCACGGCGCCGCCAAGAACCTCATACAGATTAGGGGAAGCGAGATGTTCCTATTCTGTACTGTGTCTGAGGCCCTGGAGATATCTCTCTTTCTCTCACTCTCTCTCTTTCTGTCTGTCTGTCTGTCTGTCTTTTTCTTTATTTTCAAGTATATGTTTATCAATCTGTCTCTATTGGCATTTCTGTCTCTCTTCTGGTTTCTTGTCCCCGATAACCTTCATGGCAGACGTAACTAAGATTGTTGTCGTTCGTAGAGTGAATCCAAACAAATCCGACTTCCTAGAATACCGCACTGCGTTCTTGTAGGATTTGTTATGGATTCTCAAAGGTTCCTACGTTAAGTTTTCCTCCTAACTGGTGATGTGAGAACGTATCTAACTGACTCACTTAAGCTACCACACAAAGATGGATTCTCAAAGGTTCCTACGTTAAGTTTTCCTCCTAACTGGGGATGGGAGAACGTATCGAACTGACTCACTTAAGCTACCACACAAAGATGGATTCTCAAAGGTTCCTACGTTAAGTTTTCCTCCTAACTGGTGACGGGAGAACGTATCTAACTGACTCACTTAAGCTACCACACAAAGATGGATTCTCAAAGGTTCCTACGTTAAGTTTTCCTCCTAACTGGTGATGTGAGAACGTATCTAACTGACTCACTTAAGCTACCACACAAAGATGGATTCTCAAAGGTTCCTACGTTAAGTTTTCCTCCTAACTGGTGATGTGAGAACGTATCTAACTGACTCACTTAAGCTACTACACAAAGATGGATTCTCAAAGGTTCCTACGTTAAGTTTTCCTCCTAACTGGTGATGTGAGAACTTATCTAACTGACTCACTTAAGCTACCACACAAAGATGGATTCTCAAAGGTTCCTACGTTAAGTTTTCCTCTTAACTGGTGATGTGAGAACGTATCTAACTGACTCACTTAAGCTACTACACAAAGATGGATTCTCAAAGGTTCCTACGTTAAGTTTTCCTCCTAACTGGTGATGTGAGAACGTATCTAACTGACTCACTTAAGCTACCACACAAAGATGGATTCTCAAAGGTTCCTACGTTAAGTTTTCCTCCTAACTGGTGATGTGAGAACGTATCTAACTGACTCACTTAAGCTACCACACAAAGATGGATTCTCAAAAACCCAACCACATTGAATGGGGGATCGATCCATTAACTTTAAGCTTCCGTGTCGAATTTTCTCCCACTACGCCCATAACAATTAAATATATCACGTAAAATTAAATAAATAATTAATCCAACACTGAAATATTATCATTAACGAACGCCTTATACCCAATTACATAAACGAACGTGTCTGTAATGCGTTCGTGAATTAATCCAGATGAATCCGTTTAAATCCGAGGAAATCCGAGCCATTGGGATTTTTATGTAAACAACGTGTGTGTAGAAATTGTTCTTTCTTCTTCTTCTTTCTTCTCAAAAATGACTTAGTAAATTATTACGAAGGCAACCGACCCAAAGGAAAAATTTGAGTAGTTGTATATCCAGGTGACATTATGAGTTGACCTTGGGATTACTAGAGAGAGAGAGAGAGAGAGAGAGAGAGAGAGAGAGAGAGAGAGAGAGAGAGTGAGAGAGAGAGAGTAAAACCAAATTAGACAGTAAACAAAGCAAAAAGCAATGGTGCCAAATCTTACATAATTCTGCATATCTCCCATAACAAAAAAACGTCTTTTAACATAGATTTGGCAACACTGTGATTAAGCCACTCAACCAATCAGCATCAAGAACACAAATCCCTTCGTCTAAATTAACTAATCCCGTCAATGCTTACAAGGCTCTTATTTAACCACAGGCTGTTAATTTATGTTAAAATAATATGATTTAGGGGATTTATAGCGTTAAATAAGGTTAAATACGACGGTGTTTAGGTTAAATATGATATGAGAAATGTTATCCAATATGGCGGACACAATCTTGTAATGGGATCAGTCTGCCTCAAGGTGTGACGTCATTTAAAGGTTAGGGCAGGGAAAGGTTGCCAAATTATCCATTTTCTTAATTTTTTTTCTCGCTATTTTTAGAACCAAAGGGAATTTACAAGATTTCTATCCATATAATTATGTAAATATCACCATAAAATAGCATCAACTAGTCAAAATAGAAATTATAGACATAGATAACCATATATGCTATCGGCTATGAATTCCCTATATGGCATATCTTTGTGACGTCATAGCAGTTGCTGACGTCATAGCTACGTCACGTCTGATATCGATCGTGATTGGCTGATATTTACCATTGGTCAATAAAATACGAAATTTTTTTTTAATTAAAATAATATTGATTTTTTATTATAATTTTTTTTTTAATTTAGAAGGAAAAGATTGATAGATTAAATGAGAGAGAAAAAGAAAGAGAGAGAGAGAGAGGAGAGAGAGAGAGAGAGAGAGAGAGAGAGAGAGAGAGAAATAATTAGAAGATCTTTCACTTAACTCAGCACGTCAAGAAAAAGAGCTAACTCTATTTTTCTCCAATTAGGCTCAACAAATACCTGATCTCTCTCTCTCTCTCTCTCTCTCTCTCTCTCTCTATTTATCTATCTATCTATGTAGGGAAAGAGAGAGAGAGAGAGAGAGAGAGAGAGCATCTAATTACAGTTAAACAACTAATTACCACTACGCTAATGACCCCTGGCACTAGTGTTATGGGCTGGTACTGGCACACTCAAACGTCACACTCAAAGGTCACACTCAAAGGTCACACTCAAAGGTCACACTCAAACGTCACACTCAAACGTCACACTCAAAGGTCACACTCAAACGTCACACTCAAATATCACACTCAAACATCACACTCAAACATCACACTCAAACATCACACTCAAACAACACATTCAAACACCACACTCAAACATCACACTCAAACAACACACTCAAACATCACACTCAAACCTCACACTCAAACACCACACTCAAACAGCACACTCAAACATCACACTCAAACATCACACTCAAACATCACACTCAAACGTCACACTCAAACGTCACACTCAAACGTCACACTCAAACACCACACTCAAACATCACACTCAAACATCACACTCAAACATCACACTCAAGTGGGCTTTTAAGAATAAGCCCTTATAAGCATTGACTGCGTGTAGTTGCTTCAGTCCTTGGCGTTAAAGGTGAGTTTCACATATACTATTGACCCGAGGTGACCTTTATGTGCGTGTGTGTGGGTGAGTGTGTGTGTTTATGTATGTGAGAAAGATACATACACACACACACATACACACACACACACACACAACGAAAAATTATCCATGAAACAAGATTAATTACCATACACCTGCCACTAATTACATCATTAATTACCATAGATTACACCTACCCTTGTCTAAGTACCTAATTAAGAGAGAGAGAGAGAGAGAGAGAGAGAGAGAGAGAGAGAGCTGAGATTTTTAACCCAGATATTGTAAAAGCTCTGAAATATCCCACCACATTTCACTAACACCTGGCCTTCCATCCCCTGACAGAACAGACAGACAGACAGACAGACAGACAGACAGGCAGACAAGCAGACAGACAGACAAACAGACAGACAGACAGACAAATGAAGGTATGGCCAGACAAACAGACAGACAGACAGACAGGCAGACAGACATAACATCATCTCTCAACATTCATATAAATGTTAAAACACAAAATAAACATCAAAACAATATAAATTAATAAATATCCATATATAAACAGATTTATAGAGTAAAAAACACAAATTTCAGCTGCCATTGTGGATGAATTACCAATGTTTACATACGATAGTCGTTCGCGAACACTGAATCCGACTTAATCCGACTTAATCCGACTTAATCCGACTCTGGGAATAATACAATGCGTTCGTGTGGTATAAATCCTCTTGTTAAATCCGTCTATTGGGGATTCTAGGGTATGTTCGTGTTTGTAATCCGCGTAAATCCAAGGAAATCCGGGGAAATCTGTTTCTCATGACAGGTGCGTTCGTGGATTTATCGTTCGTATAGTGGTAATAGTTTAGGTTATGTATGTATGTATGTATGTATGTATGTATGTATGTATGTATGTATGTATCAATTTCTCTCTCTCTCTCTCTCTCTCTCTCTCTCTCTCTCTCTCTCTCTCTCTCTCTCTCTCTCTATCTCTCTCACACGCCATCAAAAATAGGCCCTACCCTTAACTACCTACACCACCAATTTCAAAGCCAATTTCACCTGCCACCTCGTTAACAGCCAATTACAATGGGTTTCATTTTACAATTAAAGGACCTTATTAAAAAAATAGACCCCTCCTGATGACTTGTTAATGAGGCAATACGCAGAGGGTAATTACATCACTAATTATTTCCACTGCTTCCCGTTTTCTATGAGGTTTGGTTGTGCTGATTCCGTTTTCTATGAGGTTTGGTTGTGCTGATTCCCGTTTTCTATGAGGGTTGGGTGTGCTGCTTCCCGTTTTCAATGAGGTTGGTTGTGCTGATTCCCGTTTTCTATGAGGGTTGGTTGTGCTAATTCCCGTTTTCTATGAGGGTTGGTTGTGCTGATTCCGTTTTCTATGAGGTTGGTTGTGCTGATTCCGTTTTCTGAGGGTTGGTTGTGCTAATTCTTTTCTATGAGGTTGGTTGTGCTGATTCCGTTTTCTATGAGGGTTGGTTGTGCTGATTCCCGTTTTCTATGAGGTTTGGTGTACTGCTTCCGTTTCTATAGGTTTGGTTGTGCTGATTCCGTTTTCTATGAGGGTTGGGTGTACTGATTCCTGTTTTCTGAGGTTTGGTTGTGCTGATTCCGTTTTCTATGAGGGTTGGTTGTGCTGATTCCCGTTTTCTATGAGGGTTGGGTGTACTGCTTCCGTTTCTATGAGGTTTGGTTGTGCTAATTCCCGTTTTCTGAGGGTTGGTTGTGCTGATTCCGTTTTCTATGAGGGTTTGGTTGTGCTGATTCCCGTTTTCTATGAGGGTTGGTTGTGCTAATTCCCGTTTTCTATGAGGTTGGTTGTGCTGATTCCCGTTTTCTATGAGG